CCTGTTTTCGAAATAAAACTTTGATTTTCTCTGCCTCTGGTTCATCAACAACTAAACAAATCTATGTCATGAAAACTATTCGTTAGTAGTAGGGTTTCCATTATTCTGGGGAAGAAATGTCCATTCTGGAAATGAAATGGAAATTTGTTCCGTAAAGAGGAATTTCGGGATAATTCCGGATCAAATGAAAACCAAAAACATAACATATCATAACGTAACATAACGTAACATAAACCATAAAAATTCCAGTTTCCATCTCGTAAACTAGATAAATTCCGGGTTACATAACATAAACCATAAAAATTCCAGTTTTCAAATCGTAAACTGGAATAATTCCGTTTTACGTTCCGTAAACCGGAAATATTTCCGGGTAACGTAACCATAAAAATTCCAGTTTACAAATAATAAACTGGAAAATTTCCATGTTACGTTACGTAAACTTGAATGACTTCCGTAAACCAGAAAAACTCAATTAGTTTGTTTTAGTGAAATATAAGACACGATTTACAGAACTTGAAGAAAAGGTTTTATATTAATTAAATTCATAATTGCAACGTCTTATTTGCGCTTAAATTCAGGAATTACAGATCTTTAAAAAGTTTAATATGTCTCAAATGAATCCGAAAGAAGTTTTTCACAACACTGCATACTCAGTTCAACTACCTTACATAGCCGGTCACTCCCTTTTAAAGACTATTCCACTTGAGGATTTAGCGACGTGTTTTGGTTCATTTTCAGGAAAAACGTTGATAAAACTTCCAAGATTTTAAAACCTTATCTTGATTAAGTTTGCTTTTTTTAAACTTTGCAATATCTCATTAAAAGAAAATGGAAAACGATCCAAAACCTATCGTTTTTGCATCGTTTTGCATCGTTTTTGAATCGTTTTTGCATCGTTTTGCATCGTTTTTGCATCGTTATTGGATCGGTTTTTGCAGCGTTTTTGCATCGTTATCGGATCGGTTTTTGCAGCGTTTTTGCAGCGTTTTTGCATCGTTTTGCAGCGTTTTTGCATCGTTTTGCATCGTTTTTGCAACTGTGGAATAATATATTAAATGTCGTCTTCCTACTCTACAGTTTTATAGGTTCCACTGTTTAGCTTACCAGGTGAAGGAGTACAGTTTAAATCCACGATGATATCCGCGTCCTCGCGATCCTGTTCAACAAATATCCATCATAAAACAAATTTGTCAAGCAGAAAACTCAGGAATAGGAAGTCGACTTTTAAACTCGTTTTATGCTTTTAAATAGTCTAGTGAGCATTAGACAGAGCAAATGTGCAGTGTAAACAGACCCATTTCATTTAATAATTGATTAAATAATTTACGAGTAGTAAAGATATTTGTTTTGCAAGAATGCACTTCAGTATTGCTTTAATGTCGTCTTCCTATTC